ATTAAGTTATTTGGTAATTACTTTTTTTCAATTAATTAATATTTAATATTAAATAGCCTATTGCAATTAGAACAATTTGATCAAAATTCTTTGTAAAAAATATATTATTCAAGGAAATAAAGTAACATTTAGAATAGCCAGGTTATATCATTGAGCTTGCCTATTAAAAGTGCACTAACTTTCACAAGATTTAGCCATCTGCAAATAAGTTTTTGATGTTTGCTCTACATATAAATGGGTATCTTTTTGTTTTTATGACTATGGAAATATCAGAATTTCAATAAATTTTGGTTGTYTWGAAAAATGTTATCACTAAAAGAATAATTATGGTGTTTGTGCCATATTGTGTWGCGATATGTGACTGATACACAGTACAGTATGTAACAAAAATGGCTATTATGAAATTTTAAATATTTCAAAATAACTTAACATTTCTAATCCTACCAACAACTCAGTGCATAAAATCATATTATATATGGTGCAACAATCATATATTTTAAATATAAGTACAATTTAATGTAAATCATTCATGCAATTTTAATATGTAAGAAAAAGATAGTTACAGCAAGCCAGGACCAAAAGGAAGTCAAGCATTTTTATTCAATTTGTCATAACTCAATGAATAATGCAAATAGAAATGTTAAACCTTTAAAATTTAACTTTCTTTCAAATTAAAACAACTTATTTTTGTGTTCCTTTAATGAAAAAGTTGCATATTATTATAAATTATTTTAAAAGCTTTATTTGATGTTTTCTCTTTGTTTTGGATAATAATTAAAATTATTACTCTTTACAATTATTCCAAATAACTGGTAGTATATAACAATTACCTGCTTTCCATACAGTCTCTGGAGAAATGTCCTATCTTGTTACAGTTGTAACAAGTAGAACTGCTACCACCACCGCCCATGCCACCTGATCCACGTTCAGCACGTTCATCTGGGCACTCACGAGCCAGATGTCCTGTTTTACGACAGTTGTAACATGATGGTTCACTAGCAGATTGAGAACAGTCACGAGCTATATGACCAACGCCATCACATCTTTAAAATTTCAATATTTTTATAATTAAAAACACACATTATGAACTTAGTAAATGTTCAACTAAAAAACACATTTTTAATTAAACAATATTTAAGAATAATTCTAAATAATTTATTTTTAATGATCATTAATAAATAATAAACGATTAATTATTGATAAGATGTGAAATTAAAATTTTATKATATTAGTAAATGCCTACCTATATAAAAAATAAATAATTAAATAATACATTTTATTAAGTTCCCTATTCTTTTATTCTTTTAACAGATTTTATTTTATTTTATTGCTATTTGTTTAGCACATGACTTAATGTTTGGGTATTTGTTTAATATTTTTAGTCAAATTAAAAATCATAAAATTATACAGAATAGCATTAAATAATTTAAAAATCAATCAAACAAAATACCAGTAATATAATATAATATGTATAGGTACCTATTGAATTGAATACACGTGCCTTTTGCTGTTTTGCATATTACAACAATATGTCAAAATATTCCAAAAACATCATAAAATTATTTCATTATTTAAAACAAAAATTTTACTTTAAAAAAAAAAATTGATTTGCAATATTGTGTATACTTTTTGTGTATCACTTAAAAATGTATCTTGTTTTTACGTAGATTGGTACACATAATATAGATAATGATCTTAGTWGACCACATWCTAAACAAATACCATATTTTTTAACTAGATATGTCTATTTTCAACTACAGCGCATACATATTTCATGTATATTATATAATGTTACATACCATTACAATAAGTAAGCACATGTTTAAAAATGTCTGTTTATCAATAATTGACTTGTCGAGCTGAAACTAAATAATTCTAACCTGTATTTTTATTTTTATACATATCTTATGATAAAATTATTTAACAAACTAGGTCATTTTTAATTATATTTGAGCATACTGTCTACAAACCATTAAATTTTAAGGGTCATCAACTGGTTTTTTTCTTACATWTTTTCAATTTAAAATAATAAAGGTTATGTTGAGAATTAATAATGTATCAAAATATGAAATTTGTTATTATATTAATTTATTACAAATATAATATGTATACCTATATGATTATACAACAATTTTAGTTTATTTTTGAAGAAAAATGCTCTGATCATCAATTTCACCGGTGATTGTTAGTAGGTAGTAGGTCAAAATTAAAAATCTTCTGTACTTTTAAAATTATAGTAACATAGTAACAAAAAACAACGAACATTGAATGTCTTTCAAATTAGTTTTCATAACAATATAATTTTTAGGTGGGAATTTATAWRWACACAATTGTATAAGAAAGTACCAAATACAAAGTACAATTTAAATTTTTAAGCAAAAACCAATACAATGTTAAACTATAAGTTATATGACCAACATGCAACAATAGAAATAATATTAAACCTTAAACACCTGGTTCAATACACACCCATTAAATAAAAATAATATGATCACATAACCTCAATCTTCAATCATGAAATTATACATAATAATGTGAAAACAGATAGAAAACATTTTTCAATTAACTTTCATATTAGGTATATCTATAAACAATATATTAAGCATTAGCTTAAAATAAATTTATTAGATTTACAATTATATACCAACCAAAAAATTGAATAAAAATAAAGTGAATCAAATTTATTAAAATGAATACACAGTAGGCATATAATAATAATTCAACAAAGATAAACACTAATACAGTATATTAATATGTAGTGATCATATTTCCTACACTATGGATAAAATGCATCACAATACAATGATTCAGTTATCATCAATATCTCACAGYTATTGATATTAAATTATACAACAAGTAGATCATTTTAAGGGGCAACATTTGGGTAAGTTATAGATTAAGCTTTGTCATAACGAACTATGAAAATGTAAAACAATATTAGGTACCTGTAACATCTGTCTTTGTCTTTGCAGTCACGGGCAATATGACCACTGCGATTGCATTTGTAACAATTTGTTTCACGATCACTACTTCCGCCACCAATTCCACCACTGCCACCGCCTCCTCTGCCGCCTCTGCTGAAAGTTGCACTACTTACAGAACCACTGTCACGGCAATCCCTGGCAAAATGRCCAGACCTGTTGCACCGATAACACATAACTCCAGCACTCATGACTATTGGGAAACAAAACACAAATAACACTTAAATATTATATTACTGTACCTAGTAAATGAATACTGCTGATACAAAAAAA